CTATTTATTAGAATTTACAAGACAGAGAGGAAGCCATATCAATAGAGAAGCTCATAGTAATACAATCTTACAAGATTATCTTGTAAGCACAAATCAATATTAACCTCACAACTTGAGAAACTAAAATAGTAATAACAAATGAATCCCTAAGTTTGCAGAAAGAAGAAATAATAAAAATGTTAGAACAGAAACCAATTATATAGAAACAAAGAAAACAATGCAAAGGTCAATAAAACTGAGACCTGTGATTTTAAAAGAATAAATCAGATTGGGGGGCCGGAGCGATAGCACAGTGGGTAGGGCGTTTGCCTTGCATGTGGCCAACCTGGGTTCAATTCCTGGCATCCCATATGGTCCCCCAAGCACCACCAGGAGTAATTGAATATTGCTGGGTATTACCCAAAAAGAAGAAAAGTTAAGAATAAATCAGATTGACAAATCCATGGGTCACAAAGAAAAAAAAAAGAGAAAACTCAAGTAAACCAGATAAAAGGATAAATTATAAAAGACACTTCAGAAATACCAAAGCTCAAAAACTACACTACTAAAAAATGACGAATTTTTATAATGATATAGCTTTGCAAGATTGAACAAGATTGAAATTCTGAACAGACTAATTATAAATAAGAAAACTGAATCAGTAATCAAACACCTCCAAATGAATAAAAACATGGTGGAAACAAGTTCACTAGTAAGTTGTACTAAACGGTCAAAGAAGTTTGATACTATACTCTTTAAGGTCTTCCAAAATATTGAACAGGAATGCTAACAATTTCTATGAAGCCAACATTATTCTAATACCTAAAATTGAGCAAGATGTGACTAAAAAAAATTGCAGTCAATATCCCTGGTGGAACATTGGTGCAAAAATACTCAAAAAAATCTTAGTGAGCCAAATCCAACAACATATTACAAAGATCATATCCTACAATCAAGTGGGATCATTTCATAGATGCAAGGATGGTTTACTGTATGTGAAAAAATTAAGGTATATAACATTTCAACATAAGGGAATATAAGAACCATATGATCACAGCAGTAGGTACAGAAAAATCTGATAAAGTTCAACATCTACACATGAAAGTGCTAGAGTGATAGCACAGCGGGTAGGGTGTTTGCCTTGCATGCAGCCAACATTGCCAACCCGAGTTTGATTCCTCCACCCCTCTTGTAGAGTCTGGCAAGCTACCGAGAGTATCTCGCCCACACGGCAAAGCCTGGCAAGCTATCTGTGACGTACATACTGTGTTTGGATATGCCAAACACAGTAACAAAGTCTCACAATGGAGATGTTACTGGGCCCGCTCGAGCAAATAGATGAACAATGGGAGGACAGTATGATACAGTGATACACATGAAAAAAAAAACTCTCAATAAAATAGGGACAGAGGAAATTTTAGAGATGTTTCTAGACTCCACACCAGGCTGAGTCTCCCCAGGCATGTTGGATGGAGGTGGGTTAGCTCACCACCCACCCACCCACCCACACTGAAACTGAGCCCCTACAGCCAAACACCTCCACAATCCACAATCACCACCAAGCTTATGGCTAGACTGCACTGTTCAGGACAAGCCTCATCCAGAAATTAACCTGTTGAAAAAATCAGATGTGTGGGTTTTATTACTGAAATCTCCAGGCTTTCACAGAATTGGGGATGGGCTACCTACCCCCATCTCCCTGTACTTTTGGAAGCCTTAGCAGTCTCACCCATGAAATGCATCTAGTGCCATGTAAGCTCATAAACTGACCATGATCCAGAGAATCATAAATAAATCTTGAAAGGGATCAACAAATTACAGAGATGCTTCTGGACCCTACTAAATCATCAGGAGCACCCAAAGTCACCATCTAGATTTTGGCAGAAATCCCTCCAGATTTAAGTGTTAAAATTTTAGAATTTCAAAATCACATGACTCTACTGCAGCCACGTGACATCATATGTTATTCATAACCAGCAATAGAACACAAATTGTCTACTGTTGCCTTTTCAGCAGATCTGAGTGTTGGGGTAAAATCTCAAATAATAATGGTGGGTCTGGTGTCGAAATATTGAATGTGATCAAAGTAGAGAGAGAATAATGTGGAAATCATCTGCCCCGTGGTAGGGGGACGGTGTGGGATGGGGGTATAATGGGGTTGTTGGGGGTGGAGAATGAGCACTGGTGAAGGGACGGGTGTTTCATTGTATGACCGAGACTTAGACCCGAAAGCTCTGTAACTGCTCTCACGGTGATTCAATAAATAAAATTATAAAAAAATGAAAAAAAAAAGTAGGGTGGAGTTCATGCACAATTCAATCAGCTAATCAGTGGATGAATAAATAGCAGTTACTCCTACATTTAAAAAAAAAAGAATTTCACTTGAGCTGCATCACCCTATTCAAAAACATCTAAAACTCAACTCAACATCAGTGATAAATCAGGAAAGTGATATAAAGTAAAAGTCAACCAATCTCGATTAATAAAATAAAAACACAAGGCTTAATCTGTAACAACGTTAGTAATCTCTTATACGAGAGTTTAATAGCTCCACGGTGAGATACAACAATCTCCACATACTTTCTTCTGAAAAAACATTTTTGATATTTTTAGCAAATTATTTATAACAATCAATATAAAATTAATTATCCAAGCCTGTTATAGGGACAGGCTTAAGGGGTGGTTGGGAAAATTGGAAGTAATGGTGGTGGGAAGGTGCAATGGTGGTGAGATTCGTGTTGAATATTGAATGCAACAATTCATCATGAACAACTTTATAAAAAAAATCAAACATGCAAATTAAATTTTAAAAAAAGAATCTTCCTCACAGTGTATGGTGAAAAATTGATACTTTCCTCTGAAATTAAGCACAAGGCTAGCATGTCCCTTTACTACTGTTGTTCAATATAGTCTTGAAAATTCTTGCCACAGAAATTAGGTTAAAAAAAAGAAAGAAGTCAAACCATCAGACAACAAAATAATATACAAAGAAACCCCAAAATTCCACTACAAATTTTAAAAGCAATAAAACAGTACAGCAAAGTAGCAAACTACAAAATCTATGCGCAAAATTCTGTGGTATTTCTATATGCAAGCAATGGGCTAGAAGAGAATGAGATACATAAAATAGACAGGAATTAACAAAAGTTGTGGAAGACTTATACCTTAAAAATTATGTCATTTATGAAAAAAATAGAAGTGGGTAGCAGGAAATAGAAAAATATTACATGTTCATGGGTAGGAAGAATTAATATTGTCAAAATCATCATCCTACCCACAGTATCACATAGATTCAGTACAATTCCCATTATTTTATGGGAATATAATAAATAATTTTTTGAATGACATTCTTCAAGGATTTAGAATAAACACTTCAAAAATTTGTATGGAAACATAAAACTTCCAAAATATCCATCTGAGAAAACAGAAGTTTGGTGTTACTGCATTTTCTGACTTTCCACATAAAGCGTGAGTAATCAAAATAGTCTGGTATTGGAATAAGGACAGACTTTTAGAGTAATTATTATGAATTAAGGATCAGATAAAAGTAAACTTTATATAAATAGATATAGTTCATATCCAAGTATACATACAAAGTTCAGCAGCAAATGACCTCATCAAAAAAAGGGGAGAGGAATGAAAAGACATTTCTAGGAAGAGGATGTGCAAATGTCTAATAAGCACTCACAAAAAGTGTGCATAATCAATTATTATCAGGAAAATGCAAATGAAAATAAGATATCTTATAGCAATGAAATGGCGTATATCAAATGTCTAGAAAACAACCAGTCTTTGCAGGGATGTGGTTTAAATGACTCAGTGACTCCACTCTTTTTTTTTTTCCCATTTTTGTTTTAAAGCCTTTTTATTAAAAAAAAAAAGGAAAGAAAGAAAAAAATGACCCCAATCAAAATATTTCCCATTGGAGGCTATTTTGTTTTTTATATTTAAAAATTTTTATTACACAAGTATCTCCCATTCCCACTGTTGGAGGAAAGATGTCCTTGCTCTTTCTAAAACCAATAGACTCCACTTTTTACATCTATCCTCGAACCACAAAGCGCTGATTTGGAAATGATATATGCACATCTATACTCACTGTAGCCCTCAGTATAAGTCAGAGTATGAAAACAACTCAAATCGCCAGTGACAGATGAATGGATAAAGAAGTTGTAGTATATATGCACAATGGCATACTCTGCAGTCACAAGAAAAGTCATGCCAAAGAGAGAAGAAATATGGACTAGACGCAAACATCTAATACTGTAAGACAAAATATTCTCATATGCAAGAAAATTACGGTCACATATTTGCAGATCAAGGGAAATAATAAAAATCAATAAGATTTTCAATAAAGTCAATAAGAACTGCTTACGTGATTTTTATGAATTTTTATGTTTTAAATTATTTTATCTATTTTATATTTACTTTCAATTGGTGATGTTATGACATAATTCTAACAAAATGTCTTTTGTGAAAGATTGAAAGAATATAAAAGTCTTAAAACTTCCTTATGGAGATATACACATAAATAACAATTTTTATTAATTTGAAGAATATGTGGAATTAGGAATATGATGGTGTATTTTATATGGGCAACACATATAGAAAGTAGAAATTAATTTGTTAATTAATTTGTGAAACAGCCCTTTTATTGAGACCAATAACAATATTTATTTATTTATTTAATGGAGAGTACCACACCCAGTGATGCTCACGGGGTATTCCTGGCTCTGCACTCAGGAATTACTCCTGGTTGTGTTAGGGGGACCATATGGGATGGTGGGGATAGAAGCCGTGTACAAGGCAAATGCCCTACCCTACCTACTGTAGTACCTCTCTTGACCCTATTTACACTGCTATTTTCAATGAACACTGGATACAAAGGCAGCAATTATGGGTACTCCAATATTTTTCGAATTTTTAGTAATATTTTGATGATACCAAATGGTTTCAATCTATTAAGTTTAAAATTTATATATATAAATAAATAATAAAGGCAACAATAAAACATTCCTTACCTTTCCAGAAACAATCTTTTCATAAATCTGAATTGGTTGGTCTGCAAAGAATGGGGGGTAGCCAGCTGCCATTTCATAGATTAACACTCCTAATGCCCACCAGTCCACTGCCTTATTGTAGCCCTGAGACAGATCAGCACCAAATGTCAGTTATTCATTTACTCAGATGCAATGAAATGACAGATAATTTCAAAATACAATTCAACCATATAAAATTTTAAAGCAGTTGCTAAGCATCTATTTCAGAGACTGTTTTAAAATGAACAAAATAAATCAGGTTAGATTTAAATTAAAAAATGGAGAATTTCCAGATATTGGAATCCAGTATCAGGAAATACTATTCAACCTTCTTCTTAAAATCATTAAGAATACTGTAAGTAATAAAATATCCCTTATTTAGTTGGTATAATTTAGTTGCTGCTCGACAAAAGGAAGGGAATTGGGTCAAATAACCTCTTAAGGTCCATTCTATGTTTATAATCCTATGAATAAGATTTTCTAGGGCAAACTCAGAAAGGTCCAAAGCTTTTAGCCAAAATAGTAGATACTGAACTTTATAGTAAATACTGGCGTCGACTTTAATATATGCTATATTGTTGGAGTCAGTAGACTGAATATATTGGGACATATTCAAAGCTCTCCCTGAAAACTAGCTTAATTTAGAAACTAATATAAATATTTAAGTATTGTTTGTTTCTCTTATCTAAAAGGTGTACATAAAAAATAACGGTGGCATTTGTATAGGCTTAATACAATGAAAAGAAAGAACATTTATAAAGAACATTTTGCAAATTAAATCCACAACTCTAAGGCTATTTTTAATTGACCTTGGGTTCCCCCTCGCCACAATATACTCACTAAAATTATAAATTAGTATTATTTAAGAACTCAGGTTGGCCATGTTGGCTGCTTGCAAGGCAAATGCCCTACCCGCTGTGCTATCGCTCCAGCCCAAACACAGTAACAACGAGTCTCAAAAAAAAATGGGGCCTGCTCGAGCAAATCGATGAACAACGGGAGGACAGTGTTGTCATTATTTAAGAAAATAGTAAGAAAACGTGAAGTTTATCAACTCTGCTCAGGATAAAATGGTAAAAAAGATGTGAAAAAAAAACCCAAACACACCCTGGATCTCAACTATGGAGAAGATGAGTTTGGAAAAAAAAAAAAAGCAACAAAAACACCCTATTTCAATTATAAAGAAGATAAGCTGTGTTCTAGCTATTCCTTTAGCCTGTCCTCAAATGTCTTCTTTAATTATCTTCAGCATTCCCCACATTGCAGGCTTAGGTCAAAATTTTGGCTTTACCAAAGGTTTATTATTAAGCTATAATAACTATATGATATATTATTATTAAATATGTAATATAAATATATAATATATAGCATATGTAATATAGATTTTCTTTCCTTTTTCCTGCTTATATATGTTTTTAAAAGGAAAGAGACTAATGTAGTAAGAATGACACTGTGTTTGCTAAAAGACATGAACATCAACTATGCTTTAACCTTTGGCTTCATGTTGTGAATAATGTATAATAAATAAAATTTTCGTAATCATGCATTAATATATTTACACTAATAATTTAGATTAAGTAAAACATTAGATAAACTATATCTAGAAAAGCCCACAATGATGCATGTCTTATATTTCTATTTTTTATACAATGACATTATAAATATACCTTGCTGAGGATTATTTCTGGAGCCAAGTATTCTGGAGTGCCACATAATGTCCAAGTTCTTCCTTTAACTCTTTTGGCAAATCCAAAGTCTGTGACCTATAAAATAAAAACATATTTGTGAACATTTATTATTGTACTATAACTTTACCTCTGAAGATGAGGTCTACCTAAGCTGAAAGTTAAAAGTAAGTGTTAAAATTAAAACCATGAAAACAAAATTAAGTCAAGGAAATAGAGAAGAATCCATGAAGGTCACTATTCAGTGAATGCAGGTTAAGGCAACTCACACTGCAGATCTTTCCTGGTCTCAAACACAAAACGGTAAAAATAGTTTGTAATAAAAAATAAGATAGTGATTTTTCGGTAAACATAGCATGTTTCTTGCTATAACTACGTCATGAGAATCGCAAAAATCGATATGCCAGACACAGTAACAACAAAGTCTCCAATGGAGACGTTATTGGGCCCGCTTGAGCAAATCGATGATCAATGGGAGGGCCTTTACCTTTACCTTTTAAAAATCACTACTTTATTAATTGCAGAAGTGGAAAGAAGGTAGTGCCGGCAACCCAGCATTGGTATTGGGGGCTCCTATGATGATGCATTTACAATGTTAATGTGCATGGAGTCAGGGAACGCAACTTTCAGGTTCAACTCTGATTTTACTCCCTTTACAACCTTGCTGTCTGTCCCTTAGTTTCAAATAGCCTTCGAATGAGAGTAGTCCTGATACTTCACAGTGTAGTTAGCACCAACTGTCACTGTCACTGTCCTCCCGTTGTTCACTGATTTGTTCAAGCGGGCCCAATAACATCGTGAAACTTGTTGTTACTGTGTTTGGCATATCAAATACGTCACGGGTAGCTTGCCAGGCTTTGCCATTCGGGCTAAATACTCTCGGTAGCTTGCTGGGCTCTCCGAGAGGGGCGGAGGAATCGAACTGGGGTCGACCAGGTCGGCCACGTGCAAGGCAAACGCCCTACCCACTGTGCTATCGCTCTAGCCCAGTTAGCACCAAAACATGTAAAATAGTTGGAATAATGCCTGACATTAAATAAGTGCTCACAAATTAGCTGTCACTGTGTCTTTCTTCAGGAACCTTTTCACAGTTCACAGGCATAGACTATGGGAAAAATAAACAAGTTCTACTTAAGATAAAAAGTTTTTAGATTTCTGTAAAAGCCTAACAATTAGCAGAGCAATTAGCTCAGTTTAAGATATTAGTAAGAAGTAAAGGATTTCATTCAAAGGGAAATATATAGGTATCATTTTTAGTTACCATTAAATGCATACAATTCATTATTTTCTCAAGTAACATATATAAAGAATTGAAGTCATACCTGGATATAACCTTGGTGGTCAATTAAGAGATTTTCAGGTTTTAAATCTCTGTAGATGAGGTCTAGCGAATGGAGGTACTCAAATGTTAGCACTATCTGGGCTGCATAGAACCGGGCATGAGGTTCACTACAGAAATACAAAACATTGATTATTTTGTAAAATGGGTTAACATAGATTAATTAAAAACTCATGCAAAACAATATGTTGCAGAGGTATTATTAGAAAAAAATTAATTTTAAACAAGTTTAAAGAATCTTGTTAGCTTCAAATATTTACTAAATCTCCATAAATCAAATTCAAAAAGCTCTAATATGCTATTGTCATCTTATTTTAAATTATCATTGCCATATTAGAAAACACTGTTGTCTTTATATCTGATGTTGAAGAAGACTCAAAAGAAAATATGTACATTAGTTTATCAGGGCCATTGCTAGTGCTGGCAGTCTATTCACCTTTCTTACAGATTTTAAGTGCTTAAAGAATTTCACTTTAGGTGAAATGCAGTTCTATAAGTGCATTAAGCAGAAAATTATTGACATTTTATCTAAATTGTTCTCATTATGAAATTAATATCTACTATAGAAAAATATAGTATTAATGATGAGTTAGAGTATTCATAATCCTATCCAGAAACTGTTGATATAAACCTGGTTTTTAACTTTTCAAATTTACTATGATGTCACAAAGATACATAAAGATAGGTAACAGTATGTTGCAATGGAAGGTCAGATCTATTGTCTATTGATAGAGTTGTGCAATTTTGATGTTACATTTGCAGAACTACCTAAAAGAATGTATTAACTTTTTAATTTGAACTTCAGTTTCACCTTCTGGTTTATACGCTGAATTCTGATCATTTGCCTGACAAATTACAGTGACTTTCAGATTTGTGTCCTCAGTGAACAACCTTAACTATGAATAGAATTTCCCTCAAGACAGTTGACATAAGTTTTATCTGGCAGAACCAGAAATAGAATTCCTCCCCCTATCCCCACCCCAACCCAAGTATATTATGCTGCTCTCTGTGAAATGACAGTATTTCCTAGTCCCAGTCTGGTATATTTCAGGTGTTCTGTAAATAATTTTAAATAAATAAATTTATAAAAAAGTATTTTTGGGCATACATTTTTTCCAAGCCCTTCCAGTTTCAGACTAATCTTAAGACTGAAATAATTCTATCCCATATGTTGTTTGACAGGGACAGTAAGCGAAGATTTAAGGTCACTGAGACGTTTATCCCTAACCATGAAAACATATGACCTAGAAAGTCTTCCTAATTTGCCTATGAATCTATAAATAAAAAAAAGAATTGCAACACACAATACAAATTTATCCTCATATACATAAGACACACTCAATATTTTATACTTCTTCCACACTAACGTGGAGAGTTGTAATTACTTAACTGATTTTGATTGAAGCCATGCAAATCAATAATTTAGTTTTCTTACTGGCTCAAAGTTTCTGAGGTAGGAACTAGCAACCTCTCAACTATAATATAAGACATATGTGATATATATTATTTATATTATATATAATACATACTCAACTGTAACATTTTGACTAGAATATATAATAATCTATATACACAGTAGATATGAAAGGTAAGAAAAGACTGTCTCATGCAAACTTGCTTTCTTCCTGTATATAATTTAGTCACAAAGGAAAAAGTAATCACAGAAATAGACTGATTCTTTTGTAGGGAAGGTTTACACTCAATTAGCTCAGGGCTTACTCCTGGCTCTGTGCTCAGGGATCCCTACTGGCAGAACCTGGAGGACCATATGTGGAGCCGGAATCAAACTTGGGTTGGTTGTGTGCAATGCAAGTGACTTACTATACACTATCTTTTCTGCCCCAACCACATTTTTAAAACATATTTTTGAAGACCAGTTTATGAATGACATGTCTATGTATATGTATGTGATAGCACAGCGGGGAGGGTGTTTGCCTTGCACGTGGCCAACCCGGGTTCGATATTATCTCGTTTTTACTTTGGAGAACCCGGCAGGCTACTGAAAGTATCCTGCCTGCAAGGCAGAGTCTAGCAAACTTCCCGTGTCGTACTCAATATGCCAAATACCAGTAACAATGATAGGTCTCATTCTCCTAGCCCTGAAAGAGCATTGAATATGGCTCTTTTAAAATCTCAGGGCTAGGAAGGAGTCGTAACTGGTGCCTGCTCGAGGCAATGGAAGAACAACAGGATGATCCTGATCGTGATGTCAATGTAAAAATCTGAACCATCATTATGCAGGATTCTGGCCTATTTGAACAAAGGGGTGATTAAAGACAATACAACAGAAAGAGAAACCAAATCAATGACAAAGAGAAATTACTTTGCCTTAGCATATTTCTTGACACATTTCAAGTCAACAAATTCTTGCTTAGTCTCAGGTAAGTAAAATAATGTTTTTTGATATGTCAGAAGATTTTCTTTTTTTTTTATTTAATAGAATCACTGTGAGCTACAGTTACAAAATTTTCATGTTTGAGTTTCAGTCATACAATGATCGAACACTCATCCCTCCACCAGTGTATGTTACCCACCAACGATGTCCTCAGTATTCCTCCTCCCACCCCTGTACCACCCCTTCCCCTGCCTCTATGGCAGACAATTTCCCTCTGGTAAGTAAAATAATTCTAATCAACATTACTAAATATAACATTACTGAATATAGCCTGGTATTAATCCAAGTTTACCCATCATCTTTAAGAATCAAATTATTATCAGGTCAGTTTGAACTCAAATTTATGTTTAATTACAATGTACAGAATGAGGCTGGATCTACGTTTGGTTCAACATTATTGCATTAATGCTTATTAATGAAAATGAAACAAGTATCACACATAAGTAAAGTCTAATAGATTGTGGTGGAAGGATATTACTACTTGGATGGTGGATGTGGTATGGTAACATATTTTGAAGAATTGTAAAACTGTAACCCCAATGGGGATGGAGTGATAGCACAGCGGGTAGGGCATTTGCCTTGCACACGGCTGACCCGGATTCGATTCCCAGCAACCCATATGGTCTCCTGAGCACTGCCAGATGTAACTCCTGAGTGCAGGCCAGGAGTAACCCCTGTGCATTGCTGGGTGTGACCCTCAAAAAATTATTACCCCAAAATAGATAACAGTCACAAATCATTACCTCAATAATAAATTAAAAATTAATATAAATTACCTATGTGGACATGTTAGTATTATTAAGGCACAGATTCCTTTAAAATTAAAATATATGATTAATTTATATTTATTTTATTTATATTTATGGGCAGAGGGAAATTTGGGACCATGCGCAGGAGTTCTCAGGACTTACTCCATGCTCTAAATTCAGGAACATTCCTGGCAGTAGGGGACCATATGCGGTGACAGAATTGGGATCAGCTACATGCAAGACAGGTGCCTTAAGCTTCATATTATATCTCTGACCCTAGATAAGTACTTCAAAAATTCAACATAGTGAAAACTGTAAGTAAGGATAATTTTATTAGATCAAAACAAAATTTCATAATCATTGCCATGATGTATTATTATCATCTTTCCTGTAAATATTTTTCTTATCTTTATCCTAAAGAAGAAAAATAAGCCTTTTCCCTAGAGTTGTCTTATTAATTTTATTCAGTAAATACTGGTATATTTACATTTTTTTCCTGGAAGTTCTTCAAATAATGAACTTTCATAATTCCTATCAGTGGAGAAATATTAAATCAGTCTCTAGCATTTTGATTTTTAAAACACAGAATATGATGTATCTACTACTGTTTTTATATACTCATTCATATTGTTAAAATATTACTAAATAATGCAATAAGTATTTACTATTCACAGTAACAGGCTTATTTTGAAGCAAAAATACAACATAAAAAGATTTGAGAAGTGTAAAGTATTCATTACCTGAATCTTCCAATTCTTCTTAGATGTGAAAACATTTCTCCCCCAGGAACATATTCCATAACCATGTATAAATTAGAATTATCCTGTGAGCAAGTAAAAAGGGAAATCAAAACTATATAGTCAAGGTTATTTCTTAAGAAAATATTTTAAGGTATCTTCATATTCAATTAGAAAATGATAGAAAAATATTTTATCGACATATTACTAACATTGAGAAAGAGAGAATAAGTGGAAAATGATCTAACTTTGAATTACTTGGATATTTACAAATATTTTTTTTCCATCATAGTATTTTTGCCACAAATTAGGATATGTACTTTGGCTGTTCTTTCAGAAAACAATTTTTTAACAGTTAAATAGTGTAGCAGTGACTTAATGCTTTAATGCATGAAAAAGAATAACCAAGTTAAAAACAACTTGGAATTGTTAGAAAAAACATTTACTCCTTATGTATCACAGAGTCAAAAAGACTAATGATCATCAATCATTAATTTTTCTATCATCCTAAATATAGAAGTTTTGATTTGACTAAAATAATAAAAAGACTGAAATGTTTCATACAAATCAACATTACAGAAAATGTCTAGAATTATTCTAAAAAGCTGAAATCTAAATATTGTGAAACTTTGTAAGAGACTTGAGCAGATAGTCAAATATTCACTCTGCATCATATAAAACCACAAGGTGAGACTATAGCAGAAAAGTTGGGAAAAGTTTTCAAAAAGTTGAAGGAAAGTTGCTATGGATATATTTGTTTGCCTAAGTGTGAAAAATACTTAATAAAATATCACTATGGATTTTAATAAGTTGGCTTTTAAATTTTATAATACTATTGCCTGAAGAATTAAGCATTATCATTAACAATTTACCTAAGGAGATTCAAACTATTTCATCTTTGAAAATACATAAAGCAAAATACGCTTAAAGGATTTAATCACATAAACTACAGATACATATGTTTGGTTCACTAATATTGTTCACATGTTATCGGGTTTAGATAATGATAATGATGACCATGTATTTGTCATCAGATTTAGAATCCTATACTTAACCATATACTTAAAATATACGAGACTGAAAATATTGTGTTTGGATATTAGCAAAATTTACCTTAAAAGAATACTCCAGTCGAACAAGAAAAGGAAAATTCACTGCCTGTAATATTCTTTTCTCATTCAAAGTATGCTCTATTTGCTTCAGTTTAACAACCTGTAATTGAAAAGTGAATATACTTAATGCAAAAAAATTAGTTCCTATAGTTTTAAAGGGAAAAATTAAATGTGTTCCTTGTAATAATGAACTCAGATAAGTAAAATTGCTTGCTTTGGGTTAAGACTGACAATATTCACTATCAATTAGGTTTATCGGGTTCAAATAAAAATAGTTAGAGAATACTAAAGTTTGTCTCTAAAAAAAGGCCAACTATTTTAGTCAAGAAGCAAGAAACACTGAATATTATGCAGTTATAAGAAAAGATAAAATCACGCCGTTTGCTGCAGCATGGATGAAACTGGAGGGCATCATGTGAGGCAAAATTAAGCTAGAAGGAGAAGAACAAATACTGGATGATCTCACTCTCATAAAATATACAGACAAAAAATATAGAGATAAATATAGACAAAACAAGGGAATAGACAGTAGTGACAATGACAAAACCTAGGACTTGGATTATAAAGCTTATTAAATACTTGGAGAGTTATGGGCACTCTGGTATTGGTGGGGTACAGTAATGTATATTAACACTCCAAATATTATTGCTAGCATACTATCTATACTATAATAAAATCTATTTAAAAAAAGAAGCATCGCTGTAGATGGAGTGATAGTAGAGCAAGTAGGGTGCTTGCCTTGCATGGGTCTAACCCATGTTACATCCCCAGCACCTTATATGGTACCCTGAACCCATCAGGAATGATCCCAGAGTGCAGAGTCAGAAAGCCCTAAAATGAAAAATTAAATAATAAAAGAAACATCACAAATTTCATAGGGGTGTGTGAAATTGAGAAATAGACTCAATCAGTTACTGAAGAATATAAGAAAATACAAAGTAGTTAGGGGCTGGAGCAATAGCACAGTGGGTAGGGCTTTTGCCTTGTAAGCAGCTGACCTGGTTTTGATTCCCAGGATCCCATATGGTCACCCCCCTTCCCGCCCCCCAAGCACTGCCAGGGGTAATTCCTGAGTGCAGAGCCAGGAGTAACCCCTGTGCATCACTGGGTGTGACTCAAAAAGAAAAAAAATACAAAGTAGCTTCTAATGCCTATAGCTTACTGAAGGAGATGACATAAAACACTAAAATATCTAGATATTGATTTACATGTTCAGAAGGTTAGCAAAAAGATGAAAGGGGAAAAGTTATAATAAAATTATTAAATGATTAAATAATTAAAATTTAATTAATTTAATTATTAATAATTAAATAATGGTACAAAGAAAAATTGGTAATTTTATAAAACCTGAATAAATCTAAGAACAAATTCTAACAATTCCACTTGTATAGTCACACAATGATGACACATAAGATACTGGCAAAAAAAGACTATTTTTCAAAACAATTGATCATTTATGAGTTATTGAGTTTTCCTGTGAATGTCTACTCAATCAGGTACTTTGGAGAAAGTGACTTATCCTGATTTTATGAAGACTGCAAGACTGTAATTCTATCCCACATGTGATTCTGTTTTGAATTTTAAAAAAGGTGATCTTAGGGAAACATAAATAATGTCTATATGTGTAACTCATTTGAAGATCACATTTTTTTTCTTTTTAGAGGATTAATGTCAATGAGAGGGAGTCACAGAATTCAGGAAGTTGAACATGAATAGAAAAGACAATTGATTTATAATCCAAGTACTAGAGTATGAAATTATAGCATACAATAATGCTGAGGAAATGATAATTAAAAATCAGAAAATCTGCATTTTAATCTAAACCTTCTATTTGACCAGTGTTTTAACTTTGGAGATATTTCAAATGTTGAAATTTAGTTTATCTGTAACATAAAGTGGTTGTACCACTACAGTCCACATTCTAACTAGTCACAAAGAAATATTAGACCAAATTGATCATAATATATTTGATCACGGATGAAGGATAACTGTTACTTCATAAATAGGCATTTCTTTTTTTAGCAGTTCCAGGTTCAGAGTAGAACTGAGTGGAGCCACAGAAATGTCCCATATATCCCGCTGCCACACATGTGAAGCCCCTCCCCTTAATAACATTCCCCATCAGAGAGGAGTGGTATATTTGTTAACCCACAGACTATAATTAATATTAATTCAGTGATGTACATTCTAGAGGTTTGGACAAATGTATAATGACTTTTACCCAACATTACAATAACATATGGAGTAATTTCAATATCTTAAAAATCCTCTGGACTTCATCTACTCATCCCTCCTTCCCCTCTAATTCCAGGCAAGTACTGATCTTTCTTCAGTGACTACAGTTTGCCTTTTTCAGAATTTCATAGAGTTGAAATCCTAGTGTCTGTGAGGAAGTAATGAAAACTGAAAAAGGAAGGCTTTCACACACTGTAATTCTAAGTCAACTATCTGTGTTGAGAGCATAACAATTAAAAATAGAAATATATCTAATATATGTACATTAGAAAAGTAACTAGCCTTAGTTATTTTAAAAGTGAGTACCAACCAAATGTAAAGTATAAAAATAGGTGCAATAGATGTAAAGACAAGAAAGTGTGTGCTTTTGTGTAGCAAAAAATCTATTTGGAAACATAAAAAATTAATATGTGGACAATAAGATATAAATAATTGCCAACTGAGAATTTTTAAGTGTTCAGAGAAAATGATTACATCAGGTCTAGTACATAGCATCTAGGCACTCTAGAAAATGCTGATAATAATAATATCTATGTAAGTGATTGGTATAAAGTAAATGCATAAAAATGTCAGAGATATAGTACAGTGGGTAGGGTGTCTACCTTGCACATGGCTGATCTGGGTTTGATGCCCTGCACCTAATATGGTCCCCTAAATTCCACCAGGAGTGATTTCTGAACATAGAACTAGGAGAAAACCCTGAACACTGTGAAATTTAGCCCCCAAACCAACCCAAAAATGTCACTTGTAACTATAACTTATTTTTAAAATTAAGAGCTCAGCTAGGTCTTAAGAGGAACAGCTAACAAAGATAGTGGAGATCTTGGAGACAAATACTCAGAAACATTTGAAGTGGGAAAATTTACAAAGTTAAGCCCATGTGCTAGCTCCATTTAACTCTAGATTAGGACAGTATTTCTCAAAAGTTGGTAATGCAGCATCCCTAATGCTATAAAATTAATAAATAGACCTATTCATGTTTCATTTCAAAGTTCATGACCTATTTTGTTAATTTTTTATAGATTTAAAAACATTTACAAACAATTACATATTTTAAGGCAAACATTAGGTGAGTTATTTATAAGGAAGACCAGCCATCTATCATCACACACTCCCCTATGCCATGTGTGTGGTGCTGGCAAATGATACTTCTTGCATGGATTTTTAAGTTAAAAAACTTAAACTTTTTTTTCTTTTTTTGGTTTTTGAGCCACACATGGCAGTGTTCAGGGCTTACTTCTGGCTCTTTGCTCAGAGATCACTCTTAGTTGCTAGAGTGATAGTACAGTGGATAAGGTGTTTGCCTTGCATGTGTCTGACCCAGATTCAATCCCTGGTACCCCATATGGTCTCCTGAGCACAGGCAGGAGTGATCCCTGAGTACAGAGCCAGGAGTAAGCCCTGAGCACAGCTGGTGTGGCAACAAAAACAAACAAAAATATCCCCGAGTGCAGGGATTCCTCTTTGCAGGGCATAGCACCTGTAAGGGGTGACAGAGATTGAAACTGAGTCAGCTGTGTGCAAAGCAAGGCCCTACCCTCTGTACTCTCCTGCATTTTTCTACAAGGCAGGATGTGATCTATAGATTTCTGTTCTTTACATCTTAAATTCAGTCCTATGTTAATAAATACACATACATATATTTATGATAATTATTAAAATAAATAATATAAACCAGAAACTGAAATTACTATGTGTCACATTATAACAATAAGTCCAAATGAAAATTAAGTACAATAAAATTATCTGACAAAGCAAATGACAAGTCATATACCATCTGCCTAATACTTTAATTGATAAAACCGAATTTTACCCTTCATGAACATAATAAAAATACACTAACCTTCTGTTTATCTAAGATCTTCATGGCATAATACTGTTCAGTGGCTTTATGTTTCACCAGCATTACTCTTCCAAATGAACCTGTTCCGAGGGTCTTTTTCCTTTCGAAATCCTCGAGTCCAGCATTATTCTACATATACATGAAAAAATAAAATAACTTAAAACCAGAAATCCCATCAGAAGACTGTCAGCGATGTAATAGGTTAAGTAATATCAGAAAAAAATTATATATTTAAAAATATTACAAGATTACTGGGATTCCAGGTTAATCTTTGCTTCTATTTTTCCTTTGAAGAAAGGATTTATATTTAAGAAGATAATTCTATTTAAAAAAATATACTGGTAATAGAAATAAAAGCTTCAGATATTAAAAGTCATATTATAAAATGAATTCTGGTATTGAACTTCCAATAAATTAGTACCATATTTTAATAATTAGAGATTAACCAAAAGTATATTGACAAAACCAACCATGGGAGCCTTATAAATTAATATACTTGCAAGTAACTGTAATGAACAAAAAGCTGAGAAATTAAAAATCCTTTTCATTAGAGTTAACTTGAAGAAAGTATTGTCATACTTCATTTCTATTTTTATGCAAACATACACAACTAGACAATAATTGCATAATAAATCCTAATGATTTTCTCTTGCTGATGTTACAATAACCCAACATTACCTAAAACAGTAACTAAGGAAAAGAAATGTTTCTCGTTCCCGTCAAGATAAGCAAAATCAGAGTCCTAGAACAATAATCAGTCTCTTTTTCTGTCTGAATAGATGCTTTGTTATGAGCAAAGATCTTTGTTTGGCTTTGACTATAGCACAGAAGGAAAAAAATGGAAGCATCAATCTATTGAATTTGTTGCAGCCACAACAAAACAAAAATTGCTAAGAATAAATTATGCACTAAATAGCAACAAGTAGTAATTGCTGTTCCATTTGTTTAATAGGCTTTCATTGCAAAGAATATCCATTGAAAATCCTGGAAAAATTATTTCCAAGTGCCAGGTTGTACAGTGTTTAAGACTAAAAAAAAAAAATTGTGATGCAATGCAGTAAAATTCTTATGTAAGAGAAGAATAGCTATTTCCGGTAGTCAGATTTTGTCTCCCTGGCAAATCAAACCTTGCTTTGCAGACAGCATAGCTTCCTATGAATCATTACAGAGAAATCAAGCAAATCTCAATGTCTAGTTATAAAATTTGTAGTAGTCATTTTAGTTCCACATTTCCCATTATTTTAAATTATCCTGGTATTCTATATCAGTGCATGAAGAATTCTTATGATTAGGATTAAATTAATATATGCATTCCTACTTAATTCTGGCTTTTCAATATTAGGTGTATTAAAATGTTTAACCTGGTTCTCAATTAAGCAATGAAAACAACATCACTGATAATTCACCAAGCATCTCTTTTTGCTAGTTACAGCGTTTCAGATAAATATCTTAATCACTGCCCTTAATGTATCATGTTAACATAATGTGTAACATCTTATAATTACTTGAATGAGTACATTTTAACATAGGTCATACTCTAAATCTTGGTAATAAAGTTTAATAGAATTAAATTTTTTTAATTGATGCAACTCTGGTTCATAAATGTGTAAATATGTGGATATTTTAGGGGTACAATGTTACCACATTGAAAGTAGAAATGTTCTTTAAGGAAAAAATACTTGGAATAAGTTTATTGTCACAAGAAAAAATATTTTCAAACCAATCTACTACTAAAACTAATCAGAATAGCTTCAAGAAAAATTTGAGAGCAGGGCTCGGGAGATGGCTTAAAGGGCTGGAAAACATGCTTTACATGTAGGAGGTATAGATTCAACCCTCCCCAACCAGCATTTCCTAGTGTGACCCCCAAGCACCAAGTAGGGAGTCACCTTTGAATATCACTATATGTATTACCCCAAAACAATAGCATTTTAGGGCAAGAGAAATAGTACAAGGGTTAAGATGCTCCTTTGCATGTGGCCAATCCCATTTCAATCCCTGATACTGCACATGATCCCCTGAGCATACAGACAGGAGTAGCCACTGAGCACCGTTAGATGTAGCTCCCTAATGAAAGCAAACAAAAAGAGGCTTTAGGTCTTAAGTGAGGTGCAAAGTATCTGAACTGTATACCATTCACCACACCAAAATGTTTATAAAAAAGTCCCTATGGGTAAGTATGCAGTTCATAGGCAAGTTTTTTGTGGCTGAGAATTTGGAAGAGGGTAGGTGGGAAGAGAGTTTGAGGGCCAGAGCAAAATCCTTGAAGGTTCAAGCTCAGAACCAGATGCTTCCCCACCTCAGCCTTGGCGGTCCCCAGCACTATGGGCCTAAGCAACATCCAACATCATATGGTCAACCCAAGCGTTAAAACTCTCAGACTCGGTGGGTAGAGCATTGCTTGAAAAGTCTCTTCCTTCTCTCCTCACACAAAAAAGAATTTTAAACTACAAAACAGGATCCCAGTTGTTTTAAGAAAAAAATGCAAAGAAATTTTTTTTTTAATTTTTTTTCCCTTTATTTTATTTTTTTTAAAGTTGTAGATTTACAATTTTTTGTGCTTTGGTTTCAATTATACAATGATCAGATACCCATCCCTCCACCAGTGCCCATTTTCCACCACCATGGATAATATCCCTCCCACCCACATCCCCCCATCCCCCCTGTCTCTGTGGCAGGGCAATCCCCTGTGTTCTCTCTCTCCTTTTGGGTGTTGTGGTCTGCAAAAGAGGCATTGAGTGGCAAACATGTTCAGTCCATAGTCTACTTTCGACATGCATCTCCCCTCCTGGGAGGATCCTCCAAACATCCTTTATTTGGTGCTCCCTTCTCTATCTGAACAGCCCTTTCCTCTAGGATACCCGGCTGGCCTCTAAGTTATGGAGTAATCCTCCTGGTGCTGATCTCAGCTATTCTTGGGTATTAATCTCATACTTTGTTACTTTATATCCCCCAGATGAATGCAATCTTTCTATGTCTATCCCTCTCTTTCTGACTCATTTCGCTTAGCATGATACTTTCCATATTGTACCACTTGTATGTAAATTTCATGACTTCATCTTTTCTAAGAGCTACATAGTACTCCATTGTGTAGATGTACCAAAGTTTCTTTAACCAGTCATCTGTTCTTGGGCATTCAGGTTTCTTCCAGTTTCTGGCTATTGTAAAGAGTGCTGCAATGAACAAACAAGTGCAGATGTCACTTCGACTATACATTTTTGCCTCTCTGGGATATATTCCCAGGAGTGGTATTGCTGGGTCAAATGGGAGCTCAATTTCTAATTTTTTGAGAATCGTCCATACTGTTTTCCAGAAGGGCTGAACCAGTGGACATTCCCACCAACAGTGAAGGAGTGTCCCTTTCTCGCCACAACCACGCCAGCATCGGTTGCTTTTGTTCTTTTGAATGTGGGCCAGTCTCTGAGGTGTGAGATGGTATCTCATTGTGGTTTTGATCTGCATCTCCCTGATGATTAATGATGTAGAGCATTTTCTCATGTGCTTTTTTGCCATTCGGATTTCTTCTTTGAGAAAGTTTCTGTTCATTTCATTGCCCCATTTTTGGATGGGGTTGGATGTTTTCTTCTTGTGGAGTTTAACCAGTATTTTGTATATCCTGGATATCAACCCCTTGTCAGATGTGTATTCGGTGAATATCCTTTCCCATTCTGTAGACTGTCTTTGTATTTTGGTCACTGTTTCTTTGGAGGTGCAGAAGCTTCTTAGTTTAAGATAGTCCCATTTATCTATCTCTGTTTTCACTTGCTCGGCCAGTGGCGTGGCATCGCAAAGAAATATTTTAATTATTATAGTAATAGAATATAATTTAAACTATTATAGTAATAGAAAATGTTAAGAGTTTGCAACTTAGGATCAGTATCAAAATTTATAATCAGGTGTATATAGAAAATTAGTTCCCTTTCTATATTAGTTATACATGAAATTATTCGGCTGCCGGGGCTCTGCTCGGGGCTCTGCTCGGGGCAGGGAGGGAAACTCAACCCACCCCCCTCTAAGGGGCCCTGGCCAGGACAGCCAGGTGCGGGGGCTGGAGACATCTTATTATCTCATTCTTGCTTTGGACAACCTGGCAGGCTACCGAATGTGACCTGCCCGCATGGCAGAGTCTGACAACTCCCTGTGGCATACCCAATATGCCAAATACCAGTAATAATGATGGTCTCATTCTCCTAACCCTGAAAGAGCCTTGAATATGGTACTTTTTAAAATCTCAGGGCTAGGAGACGTAACTGGTGCCTGCTCGAGAAAATCGACGAACAACAGGATGATTGTGATTGTGATGAAATTATTAATAATTTTAAATGTTGTGATGAAATGCCTGTTAAGTTTACATTTGTTAATGTTCTTTTAAAATTAAAGTTTTTAAAAATGCAAATTAGTTGATTGAAAATCATGATTTTACTTAAAAGTTTACTTTCAAATCATAAAAAATTTTGAATATTTCTTACCTGAGCAGGATTTTCCCACTTTTTTAAAAAGTCTTCTTTGGCTTTGGCTAGAAACTCTTTCACTGAAAATAAAAACAAACAAAAAAATTTCTTGTAAAAATGATTACATTTCACACAAAAAAACTTAAAAATAAAAACAGATTTATGGTAACTATGGTAATCACAAAGCATATATACTGATAGCTGTGATACACTAATGAACTGTTTTCTTTCCCTAAAGAAACAAAATGTTTCTCAAATTTCTGAAAATCTCTGGTACTATTCTATGTGGGGACCAATCTGATAACTCCAAATCTAATAACAAAAATGCTGATCCTGAAAGTAATGCCTGATAAAAATTGAACCTATAAATTGATCTAGGGAAAAAAAATCCTTTTCTAAGAAAGAAAACTTTCCTTCGCTAGAATTTTTACAAAAATTTCTCTTTTCTAAGGAAGAGAGGCCAGCAGTGGTATCAAGAGTCTTTTAGCATTAAAAACTGAAAACCCCTAAAGCATGTAAGGTTGGATTGTCTCTGATAAAGGTCTATTTTCAGTGATGGGATTTGTTATTAGATTTGTCTGTCTCCCAAAGGGCAGAGGGAAAGGGGGATAAACAGAATATTACATAAAGGACACCCACAAAGACTTAAAAAAACAAAACAATGATAAAAAAAAACCCCACAAAAAACCCAAACGTCTTAAAAATCTCATTTTAAATTTGGAGCCAAACTAAATATATGAATTCCAAATTTAAAAATGTACATAAAAGTAAAGCAACTCGTAGCCAGATATTTATACAGTGACCTGTAACAGCTACATTACTTTTCTAGAGCTGTAGATTAAATTTTTAGGTCTCTTAAATTATGAATCACAAAAAAGTATCTACTTTTCATTGTTCTTCCACTTTATTTATAGGGACTTCTATTTTAAGAAGACTTCAAGTTATTGAAAACATAGAAGAAAAAATTTCAGAGATATGAAATTACATAAACAAAATGTATTTTTGTTTCTAAAAGCACCTGTCAAAGAAAAATCTGAGTATATAAGAAACATTTATTTTGACTTCTTTATAAAAATTTTATTTCTTTAACATTTAAATCTCCAAATAGAGAAAACAAAACTTAAATAGTGTCAAACTGTTCATTGAAGCACAGTTTACAATAGCCAGAATCTGGAAAAAACCTGAGTGCCCGAGAACAGATGACTGGTTAAAGAAACTCTGGTACATCTACACAACGGAGTACTATGTAGCTGTTAGAAAGGATGAAGTCATGAAATTTACATATAAGTGGTACTACATGAAAAGTATCATGCTAAGAGAAATGAGTCAATAAGAGACGGACAGACATAGAAAGACTGCATTCATCTGGGGAACATAAAGTAACAAAATAGGAGACTACCACCCAAAAATAGCCGAGATAAGAACCAGGAGGTTCACTCCATGGCTTGGAGGCAGCCGCACATGCTAGGGGAAAAGGCAGCTCAGATAGAGAAGGGAGCACCAAATAAAGGGTGTTGGGAGGATCCTCCCAAGATGGGAGATGCATGCTGAAAGTAGACTATAGACGGAACATGATTGCCACTCAATGCCTCTTTTGCAAACCACAGCACCCAAAAACATGGAATGCCCTGCCACAGGGTGGGTTGGGAGGGAAGGGCGGAGTGGAGGGATACTGGAACCTGTGGTGGTGGAAAATGGGCACTGGTGGAGGGATGGGTACTCGATCATTGTATAATTGAAACCCAAACACAAAAATTTGTAAGTCTACAACTGTACCTCATGGTGTTTCACTAGTAAAAATTTTTTTAAAAAATAGTGTCAAATAGCAAAAAGCTATTCAAGGAAAACTGATAGTGGCATACTAGCACTTAGCTCATTAATAATATAAGCAAAGATGATGACAACAATTAAGACTAAATTAAAAATGAAAGTGGAGGGCTCACAAATTCTTAAATAAGACCATATTAAAATAAGGATACACATTAATTTCCTTCTTTAAGTCCAGTGAGGCAATTATGAAAAATACAGCTACAACTAAAAAAGCTGTTAGAATTCTAGTGATTTCAAAATGGTGAATGTAGGTATCAAGATCAGATATATTTTTTTGCTTGATCTTATTTTTACTTTTTTGCAATGCTGGGATCAAACACATACTCACACATGATGGTCTATATCCCTGGCTAAGCGGACAGTTTTTACACAGAGTAAGCATTTCTGAAAACATTATTTTACTACTTTAAACTGCCATTGGTACTTTGCTGTGAAATACTCTCACATTACCTATTTTAGTATATTTGAGAAAAATAGGGGCTGCAGTGATGCACAGTGGGTAGGGCATTTGCCTTGCACACGGCCGACCTGGCTGAACCAGGTTCAATTCCTCCGCCCCTCTCGGAGAGCCTGGCAAGCTACCGAGAGTATCTCGCCTGCACGGCAAAGCCTGGCAAGCTACCCATGATGTATTCAATATGCCAAACACAGTAACAAGTATCACAATGGAGATGTTACTGGGCCCACTCGAGCAAATCGATGAACAATGGGAGGGCAGTGACAGTGGCAGTGAGAGTGAGAAAAATAATTGTAAAAATAAGAATTTTTGATGTTATGAAACTTCATCCACCGAAGTAATAAATCAAACAACCACACCTACTTATGTAAATATGATCAAATTCTTCCTGAAATGTTACTTGAAGGTTGAAAATTCTTTTCTTTGAGTTCAATATGACTGAGTAAGTTATCCTATTTCTCAATGTACTACTCACACCTTAAGAAGAGTGGTTTGGTAAGTTAGACCGGGGGAGGGGAGTATGGAGGATAGTTATGTGCACATGGCAGGACTTGGGAATGTCAGCTATAAAATAAATTAAAAACATATGCAATTGCTAAGTGCAACTCTATTCCCCCAAATATATCTGATTTCTTTGGAAAAATATATTTAGATAACTTCTATTTAAAGAACTTGCATATCATATTGGAGATAAACTCTCCAGATGCCTGCATGAGTATAGATGATTTGGAGATAAGTAAAAGACTCAGGGAAAGAGAAACACACACTGAGAACATTTTCAGTCTCTCCTGCTAAGTGAGTCTGCTGCTGACAAAAAGTTATTAAAGAACAGATTGGCAACATTTGCCCCAAATGCATTAAGATGAAAGAAAATTTTATTTATTTTTGGTTTGGGGGCCACACCCACTGGTGCTTGGGGCTTACTCCCGGATTTCGTTAAGGAATCAGTCCTGGCAGGGTTTGGGGGGACCAAATGGGATGCCAGGGAACCCTGTAGGCCATGCAAGGCAAATGCTCTACCAAACGTACTATTGCTCTGGCCTTGGAGATAAAAGAAAAATTTTCTTTTCCCTGCTTAGTGAATAGCTAGAGAAAAAAAGTTCAGGTACTCTTCAGAAGAAAACTCTTCAAAATACTGATCCCCAACACCTGATCTGGTGCTTTGAGCATCATCAAGACTGATCCCCAGGCACAAAACCAGTTGTAGACCCTGAGCACTGCCAGGTATGGCACCTCTTGTCCCTCCCCACAAAAAGAGTTGTCACTTATTTCAACAGATCGAATCCTCTTTAGCATAAAAGATCTACACTGATCATAATGTCATTAAATAATTCCATGAAGGAATACTATTCAGCTATAAGAACAAAATCATAAAATTTGCAGCAACATGGATGGAACTAGAGGATATCATGCTGAATGGAGAAGGAAGAGGATAGATACAGAATGATCTCTGTCTGTCTGTCTGTCTGTCTGTCTGTCTGTCTGTCTGTCTCTCTCTCTGTCTCTCTCTCTCTCTGTCTCTCTCTCTCTCTCTCATGTGATACCTAAAGACACACAGCAAGGAAGCAACAAAGGTCCAAAGGTAACAAAATGAGAGAACTGATCCATACAACTGAGATGGTGGGGGGTTAAGGGGAAGGTATGTTGGGGTCCTTGGGGAAGGGATGTTAGTACACCAGTGGTGGGTGTGGTGTTAGAATTATGTGCAGGACAAACCATTATTAACAGTACTGTAAACCACAGAATCAATGAACGAATAAAAGTTCCATGAAGAAATGTGTTCCCCAAACCTTTTTTTCTGTCACATAAAGATATGCATAATATCTCAGATTTATACGTCAGCTATTAAGATGCAAAAACCCAGTTAACCTTAGTAAAAAATTTAAATAAGCCAAGGTATACATCTTATAAATATCAAAAATAAATAAACAAATTCCACAATTTGCTGGATCATAAATAACACAGGCAATCCACATCTGTTTTCAATTTTATTATTTTTAGACAGTACTGAATCTAGTTTTCTAAATGTTCTCTGATTTAAAAAAATTTATTTCTAGTGACATAAGGTGTTGATAAAATAAATGATGGAGGAGTCAGTCAAATCCAAATATAATAAGCCTGTTCAATCCACATTTCCCATAAAACTGAGGGTCACAATTTTTCAGTTTTCTTTTTATGGTCCAATCCATATATCATGCCTATATTTAACCATTTAGGCCATATGACATCCTGAAACACTCAGAGGTTTGCAATTTGTCGCACCTGAAATATATAAATGATTCTAATATTTCTTGTTTATGCTATTACAGCTCTGTTATTAGATACTTATCTTGAAATATCTAAAAATGATTAGTAGTTCACCCAGTGGGGGGGAACCCAATAAAAGCTTTAAAAAATTTTTGTCCTGTATTGATGAAATAAATGATAAATGAAATAAATGATACAGAAATAGGACATGTCAAAAATTAACTCAATTTCTACTTCTGTATTCCTTTTAATTATAATTATATTCTAAATAAATTTACTTTCTTTTTATTTTGTATATTTTTAAATCTATCTTGGAGCTGTAGCAACAGCACAGCAGGTAGGGAATTTGCCTTGCAAAAGGCCAACTCAGGTTCAATCCCTGGCACCTCATATGGTCCCTTAAGCCCCGCCTGGAATGATACCTGAGTACAGAGCCCGCAGTAAGACCTGAGCACTGCTGTGTGGCCCCCAAACAAAGCAAAACAAAACAAGTCTATCTTACTGCATTCTAAATAAATGAGTAAACCAAAGGTCTCTGTTAATACT